TTGCTCCATCGATTATATCTTCAACTCGTAATAACTTTCACCTTGTTGCTCCTCAGTATGTCTAGAGTGTTCTCATCAATCAGCACCCAACAACGCTGTCCAGCATCTTCAAAATTGTCTTCCTTGACAATGTACCTTCCAAGATCTCGAATTTCATCATGCATCCAGAACCTATTGAACTCATCAATCTTTATCAATGACATGAGGAGAAGAACATCAATTGCGCTGCGTGGAGAATATCCGCTACTACGCCACATGTAATCCGCATAAGTCTTATACTCCCCGATGCAAAAACATGCTATGTCTAGGAATATGGCTTTTTCTATATCGTCCAACTTGTTGATACTTATCATCAATGTATTTCGGATGTGCTTATGCGGGACTTGCTTTAAGTCCTCCAATGTCTCGTCCCACTCTGATCTAACCGTGTTGGCAAAAAGAGAACCCACTACTTCCAAAGTCAAAGGAAGCCTTCCTATGCTTGAAACGACTCCTTTCGAGAAATTGTACCAATCTATTGGAGGAGTTTCGCTTCTAAAGGCGTGCTTGCTGAAAAGCTGAATCGCTTGAACTAGGGGCATCTCCTTCACTGGGTAGGCCAAGTAATTGCTAAGTGACATTTGGTTGTCCTTATCAAGTATTGTGCTTTTGTCCCTGACTGTGACAACAATCCTACTTCCGGAACCGAACCAATCAGATCTCCCTGTGAGGTTCTCAAGTTGCCTCTTCTCGTCCACATTATCAACAACTACCAGAACTTTCTTGTTGCTAAGTCCTCTTCTTATGCGATCGATCCCATCGTTGGTGTCATGGATTCCATCAACAGAGGTCGAGCCCAGTGTGTCGGATAACAGTTTCTTTTGCACATCTAAAAGACCTTGACATGGAACATCATCAAGGAAACTACTGCAATTGAATTTAGACCGGAATCGGTTGAAGGTAACGCTAGCAAGAGTTGATTTACCAATACCACCTATTCCATGGATTATAAGAAATTGTACATGGTCATCAGAGTCAGCATCCAACAGTTTCTCTATATGTACTAAATCATCCGTTTCAACTAGATGGTCGGGAAGAGGTCTGTCCTTCCCCTTCAGCTTACGTAGAAGCTCTCGAACAATCAAATTTATAAGCTCCCCGTACCTGCCAGACAGCGATGGTGGACCAATTCATACTGAGAAAATAATGACATATGTACTACTCCAAACTTTCAAGCGTAAGCGATTTGAATAACATAAGCTAAATATATCAAGACCGATGTACAAATGGTGGCAGTTCTTCAATAACAAATTTGAATCCATTTAAGCATAACAATCTCAAGTTACAAAGAAAATCATCTAAATTATAATAAAAGGCCTCGGATTAGCTGTTATCGTAGTCCAGATTCCCGTTGATTGAATTTAAACACTAACTGCTGCCCAAGAAATTAGGTCATTTCGTATTTGGTTGAAGAATAGAGAAGAGTGGAAAGGAATCTCGCCTTACTGCTCAATAAAGAAATTTCAATTTATACCGCGTCTCCATGTCACCTCTCCCTCTCTTCTCTCTCTGGAGATCTCGATGAGATCTGGGAGACTCCATCGAGACACTGTCAATATATAGATGAAAACCTCCAGATCTTGAGGACACAAGTCAAAGCTTGGGTGCTGCATCAAGTGGTGTGAGCTCCATCGCTACCGGAGAGAGAATTTGCTCTTTTCTTTGGTTGGGGAAATTTTTTGTTATGTTAAGAGCTGATTTAAAAACAAAACTAAGTCCTGGACAGATCATATCGAAATTGATAACTCAGAAAAAGTTGTGGAAAACTTACCCTTTTCCTTCCAGCTTCCATCCTACTCTAGTTGGAACCTCCACAAGAGCAACTTCCCAGCGCTTCACCTCATCGGGGCCATACTTATTCTTATGCACAGACAGGGCATTTCTGTACAATTCGGTTTTGAGCTTGACATCGTCCGGCTCCACGTCCAAGAAAACGGGGAGAATCTCCTTCTTCCCGTCCGAATTTGAAGTGCAATCTACCATATGTGCAACTTCGCGGAGACACCACGGACTGGAAGCAAAGCCCTTAGAGAAGATGGGGATGTAGATTTGAGTGTTGTCAAGGGCTCGCAGAAGGTTTCCGCCAATCTTCTGACCGACTCGGAGCTCTTCGTTGTCTTTGAAGACGCGGATTCCTTTCTCCACCATCTGACTATAGAGGCAACTGGTAAAATGGTCCCGAGTATCCGGTCCCCTGAAACTCAGGAACACCTCGAACTCCATTCCTAACGGGTTAGTGGCCGGTGCCATTGCACGTTAGCAAACGAGACTTGAGACAGAATGGTTCTGAAGGAAAATCGACAATGAGCTTGCCTGAGGCGAGACATCAATTGAGGGCAGCTTAAATAAAGAAACAACACGCAAACTGCCAAAGAAATCGAAATCGCAGAACATCGAAATCGAAAGCGAAAGCAGAGAGGTACCTAGTGGGCTGATTGATGGCCTCCGACAATGGCGAGTTCGCAACCTGCGAGATCAAGAGAGAGACGAGACGAGATTGGCGACACTGGCAAGACTCGAGAGAGATCGGACGTTGCAGCTGTAGAGACTAGAGAGAGACGGGCCAGACCTGAGAATGAGAACTAGAAATTTGAACATACTTCATTAATTCTATGAAAAGTCGGCCAAAAGTAGGCCACCGTCGTCCAGGTTGAACGACCATTCTACAGTCTAATGTGGAAAGTTCATGCTACTTTTCTTTCGTAGTAGATGGTGAGTGGGTCTGTCATCCTCCTCATTATAGTAAAAGGGTCATAGTCCTCCCAGCTTTTCTACGTGGAAGAGTTTCAATCCACATCAATTCGAGGGAGAACTTTCTCCCTCATTGGACTATCCTACCATTCTTTTTCCTTTTTTAAATTCATTGAAGAATGAACGTGATAGTTAAAAAAAAAAAAGAATAGTATTGTAAATATTATTTCTTAATTTCAGTCCTAACTTCTTTATAATAAACGATGGAAGCCGCATTTAGCGGATTTTGATTAGTATCAAATATCATAGAGTCAATTTTTACTACTTGGTTTCATCACAAACAATTACCCGGTCATGGTCGACTTTCTCTAAAATTGAATTTCCTTGAAAATAGTTTCCAGCGATAAGAAATTATTAATGAAACAAAGAGACCCTTACTTTTATTTTTGGAACAAATTTAACTCGAACTTTCACAATTTGAAAAAAAAAACAATAATCTCTTAGTCTGTATGCTCGTAAGGAGAACTTGGTGTGTGAAATTGCTGCTGGTGATTAGGGCAAATCTCCGGAGAGACACCTCCAACTGAAAACTCTCAATCTTGTGCTATTGTGTCCAGATGATAATTTCAGCTCTCTCTCTTTGCCCACTACACCCAAGAAGAGCATCTATAATGGCCCTCTCGCTCATTTGTCTCTTAAATCTTCTGGACAAAGCCATAGAGAGCCGTCCCTATATATAATTGTGCTTTTGTCCATGACTGTGATGATGATCCTACTTCTTGAACCGAACCAATCTCATCTCCTGGCGAGGTTCTCGAGTTGCCTCTTCTTGTCCACATCATCAACAACAATCGGAACTTTCTTGTTGCCAAGTCCTCTTCTTATGCGATCAATCCCGTTGTTGGGGTCATGATTTCCGTCAGCAAAGGTCAAGCCCAATGTGTCAGGTAACAGTTTCTTTTGCAAGTCTAAAAGACCTTGACGTGGGACATCATCAAGGAAACTATTGCAATTGAATTTAGAGTGGAATCGGTTGAAGATAACGCTAGCAAGAGTTGATTTACCAATACCACCTATTCCATGGATTATAAGGAATCGTACATGGTCATCAGTGTCAACATCCAACAGTTCCTCTATACATTCTAAATCATCCCTTTCAACTAGATGGTCAGGAAGAGGTCTGTTCTTCCCCTTCAACTTAAGTAGAAGCTCTAGAGCAATCAATTTTATTAGCTCCCCATACCTAGCGGGCAACGATAGTGAAGGAATTCAGAGTAAGACAATGATGACATTGTACTATTCCTAACTTTCAAGCATATGGGATTTGAATAGCATAAGCTAGATATATCAAGACCGATTTACAAATGGTGGCAGTTTTTCAATAACAAATTTGAAACCATTTAAACATAACAATCTCAAGTTACAATGAAAATCATCTAAATTATAATAGAAGGCCTCAAATTAGCTGTTGTCGTTGTCCAGATTCCCATTGACTGGATTTAAACACTAACTGCCGCCCAGACTCTCATTGGCCATGTTAAAACACAGTGATTAAGAGAAAATGAAGGAAATTGGGTCATTTCGTATTTGGTTGAAGAAGAGAGCATCTCCCCAGCGCTTCACTTCATCGGGGCCATACTTCTTCAAATGCTTAGACAGGGCATCTCTGTACAGTTCGGTTTTGAGCTTGACATCATCCGGCTCCACATCGAAGAATACGGGGAGGATCTCCGTCTTCCAGTCTGACTTTGAAGTGCCCAGATACGAAAAGAGAACAAAAGAAGAACTTTACTTTCATTGTTGGAACAAGTTCAACCCGAACTTTCACAAGTACAAGAAAAAAGACACATCCTCACACTTGTGGGAAAACGTTAGAGTCAGCAATCTATTAATCTGAATGCTCCAATTAAGGAGAACATGGTGTGAGAAGTTGCCACTGGCTATTAGGGAGAATCAGTTGAGAGGCATCTCCAATTGAAAATTCTCCTAACTTGTGCCTCTTGTGTTCGAATGATAACTTCAACTCCCTCTGCCCACTACACCCAAGAATAGCCTCTGTAATGGCCCTCTTTGCTCATTTGCCTCTTAAGTCATCTGCACAAAGCCACAAAAAGCCGCACTCGAGTCTCTTAAACTTCAAGCCTAGTGACAGAGACGAGCTTCAGCTTGTTGAGCACTCTCTGTCTATCATTTGCTTATAGCGGCATTGCGCAGTTGCAGTGCAACTTAGAGGCGACACTACAGGTGCATAAGAAAGTCAAAAACACAGATGCAAACACGGAGACGATGGGCATAGAACTATAATATACAAACATCCGTCCACCTCGTTATTACACAAATTACCATTCAAGTACGTTGCATTCAAGAAAAGAAAAACCTCCGTGTTTTTCCTACGTCAGCTATGTAGAATAAACTTCGATATCTTCCCGGGTCTGAACCACTTATTCCCAAGAACCAATTCTGGAGTAGAAAATAACCGCAAACTATGAAGAGGCCATCTCTTCCGTTCCGAAAAGCAACGTCTTTAACCCGCTCACTTCTTGATGAATGAAATGCCCTTCTGAATACTCTCTGCTAACTCTTTCTTTGCCTTTTCCAAGCCAGCTCTACAGGTTAACAAATAAACACGAAATTAAAAACTTCTTCCTTTGATGTAATCAAAACATACATAAAAATTTCGAGATTATTAAAACTCCAGACCTTTCATACTCATTCAGCGGGCCAAGGGGACGAACCTCCTCAGCCCCGGTACGACCAAGGCACACTTTTGATGCAAAGAATGGAAGCTCAGTCACCTGAAATATGGGGACAACGATAAAGAAAATCACTGGTGGTTTCATTTGGATTTGAGAGAAATGCAAAGATTTTTCAATCTCAACAGGTTCTTTCCAGGCACCAAACCTGAGAAGCAACAAATGCACACTCGACAATACCAGCGTCACCCCTTAACCCACGCAGGCACGCATCGGCAAACTTCACAGCAGCATATGCCTGCATATTTCATTTTCACATTATTTGAGCATGTGAAAAGAGTCCACGTATCAAATAGACATCAAATTTCCTGTTCGTGAAAAAGATCAGATTACATCTCAAGGGCCATAAAAAGGACTGACCATTGAAAGAGTTGCCGAGCCAGTTCCAGCTTTAGCCTGAAAGTTGTCAAGCCACAGACGTACACAATTCAGTTGGCTTAACAACAAAAACGTAAGGAAGCAGAGAAGCGAAGCCTAAGATGTCATGTCATAATTTCATTGTCGAAATACATGCAAAAATATACAGTTTCAGTAAGATATCAACACTCACTTTTAGAAAATCTGATATATCTAACAATCCTGTCGCTACATGAACTCTCCTATTATCATCAAAATGCAAGTCATTCTCTTAACCATAACAACTAAAGATGTATATGGTGCTCTGTTTCCACATTCTTTCTGTTACCCTCCTTTGTTTTCCTTAATGAGGACCAGACAAAATAATCAGAAACTAAGTTTAGGAACCACTTTCCCAAAGGCCCTTGGGTTCTAAAGGCCTAGGGCAAATGCAAGTACCGTTTGGCAAATTTTTTGGAGAGCTTTAGGAAGATGCAATTGCGTTTCCAAAAGCTTTTAGCCAAGGCAAGTCTGGAGGTGCTTTGGGCTCTGAGCATTTCCGGAATGCAAATACATTTTTTTTTCTTCCAACTTTGCTCTCGCTAAACTTTCATAATTCTAGAAATGTCCCCACCTCACGCGATGTCACCGGCGAGGGTTCAGGCCGTCTGCGAGGCCGGATCTAGTACTGACCAGTCTAGGTCGTGCCACCTCAAGCAAGATTGGCCGGCAGCCGATTTGGCTCGCAGGCGGCTGAGTTCTGCTGGCAAAGATTTGAGAATTTAAAAAGACAAAACTAGCTAAAGTCCTTTATAAAGTGTAGTTTTTTCCAAAAGGCATTTAAGTCAAAGTTGCTTCCCAATGTGTTTTTAAATTACACTTTACCAATCACTATTTACATTTTGGAAATACCCTTTCACCAAAGTCCTTTGCATTTTCTCAAAGGCTTTCCCCAAAAGTATTCCCAAACGCACCCTAAGATACTCTCCACAACTGCTTGCTTCTACCAATCGCCCAAGACAAAGTGATTACCTTCTACATACTTTCACATGCAAGGTGTCTTAATAATTCGGACAAAAATCTTTATACTAACACATTTCCCTGGGTAGCGGTAATGGATAGGTTTTCAAGGTTGCAGTAATCAAATTCTAGTAGAGATAATATTAAGCTCTCTTCGGTTCATTACAGTGCATAGGCAAAGGCTTGACACCATAAAGTTGACTTGAGAAAGATATATGCCTACATGGCCCTACGATATGATTATTGCGAATATCTCGTCCTTCTCGTAAAGAAAGTTTTTGGCAGAGTATATCTTTGAAATGGCTAGTAAATTTAAAGAATTTAGAGTTCTAACATGATTAAGAATGCAGTCATATGTCTGGGGAAAAAATGCTTGCTTGTAACAGTGTACTCCTTAGGCAGCCTCAGTACACCGAAGCTTGTCACAAGCCCTTAAGAAAATGAACATCACTAGAACAGCTAAAGCACTACTTTATGACCTGAAAATGCAAAACTGAAGAGACTAACGGAAAATGATATGACGGTTAATTTGACGTCCACATCCATAACAAATTGAAATTTACATACCTCGACAACTTCTGTCCCGCCATTTTGGATGCGTGATGTCAGATAATCAATTTCTTGAGGAGTGAAAGAACAAGGTGGTTTAACCTACAGATTTTGAAAATGCCAATTGACATTTAGCATTCTAGAGGAAAGTTGCAATTTCTAACAGCATCCCTGTCAAACATATAAGAAGTTCTCATCAGGTAGAATACATTACAAACCTGAGATAAAAGAGGTAAAATTGTCACTCCTGCATGACCCCCAACAACTGGAACATCAACTTCTCTAGGATCAAGACCCAGTACTTCTGCCTGCAAGACACAATAGATCAGAAATCTACCTGGGAAAGGAAAAAAGTTGTTGGCTTTCATAGCATTGTCTCAAAACTGGTATCTTATACAATTTTGCTGCTTGAGCGTTAATACCAAGTAACTATGACCATAAACACCCTCATCATCATGAGAAGAGAACCAATAACACTCACTAATACAGAACAGCAGTTACATGATTATTTCACCTAAATCAATCAAATACATGGGGCTTCTGGACTCTACTGCTAGACTTGCAAATAGCCTGGTTTTATTAACTTGCTTCTAAACCACTGCTCATGATCCCATAGATGGGCGTTAGCCTATTTAATAAAATTCAGCTAAGTTGTCTTTTCACAAGCCAGAAAAAGGTTGATGCCCTTGGAGCAAGTTATTAATTGCGGGTACGCAAGATATAACGTTTGAGACAAGAGAGCATGCTAAACAGGGTAACATATGCTTCTAACTTTGTAGGCTCATACAAAGTGACGACCTGATACTCTGAACATAAAGATACTCGATGCATCTCGATAGTATCAGCAAGACAGTAGAAGCAGGAGTGATACCTACCACAAAGGTATTTGCTCTAACTACATCGAGCATGGTCACACCCAACAGTCTCTTTGGATCGTAAGTGCCAGCTCTCTTGAAAACTTCGGCTGCAATGGGAACTGTGGAGTTAACAGGGTTGCTAATCAGGTTAACGATAGCTTTCGGGCAAGATTTGGCAATTCCTTCACAAAGGGTTCTGACGATTCCAGCATTTATTTTGAACAGGTCATCTCTTGTCATTCCCGGTTTCCTAGGAACTCCAGCAGGGATGATGACAAGGTCCATTCCTACAAGGGCTTCCTCCAGTTGTTGCTGTCCCAGAAATCCGCGGACCTGATTATAGAAGCAACAAATTAGTCTGACGTATTAAATGATCCATACACAATGATGATATCGAGCTCACTCATCTGAAAAGGTAATACAAACAATATCCCCAGAAAACGATAAAAAATATCAATTTCCATGTTCACTTACAGACCAACAATTCCGTTCATCCTAAATTCAGCAAATAGCATGCGAATTATCAATGGGAGGGGAAACTCACCACGGCACCGGTGTCCATGTGGCTGATATCAGCTGTGACACCAGGAGTATTCACAACATCATACAGATGAAGAACAGAGACGAGCGGGTTGATCTTCATCAACATTGCCAGAGGCTGCCCAATGCCTCCAGACGCTCCCAGGATCGCGACCTTAAATCCTGGCGCCGCGCCCTTCGCCCGGCAATTCGCACGCCTTAAGCCCGAGCTCTCCTCCATCTAAAAACCAACCACAATGCACAAATCACTCCTCATAACCTCTTCAACCAAGAAACTAAGCATCATAACCTGCCGCACACACGTATAAAAAAAGCATCGCCAGCTTCGATAGTCGCAGCTCACGATTCAATCAAAGTCTACCAATCGCATAACCTTTCAAGAAATCAACGACTACCCATTTCAAATTAGTGATTGTTGAGTCACAAGACGACTCACCCACAAAAAAAAGCAGAAAAAACCACAGCGAATTCGGTGCCATCCATCACCAAGAAAGTGAGGGAATAAAAAGAAAAAGGGCACGACCCATGATCAAGGAAGAGCGCTCAAATTCAATGGAGATACCTGGAAATTAGGTGGGTGAAGGTGGGCAGAGATTCTTGCAATGCGTTGGTTGGCCTCGGAAGCGGGCTGCATCCTGAATTCCAGTCGGAGTCACGCGCCAATGGCAAAGAGAAAGGCTAAGGAAGCGAATAAATACAAAAGGCAAGAAGCAGAGGCTGAGATTGAGATTGAGATCGAGATCGAAGATGACGTGAGGGAGAGAGTGGGTCGAAGGATTTGGGAAGTGTGGAAGAAAAGAAAGGGGAGATGGATTAAAATCTTATCCTACTGCTAAGAATGATAATGGTTGTGGCCTTCGATGCACTTCGCTCCTCTGCCTCTCCTTTGACTATCCGAATCCTCCACCGTCTCCTTCGTTCCTCCTTTGTTTGCTTCTCGTCGTTCTCGACCCCCTTTGTTTTATCCTCCTTACTTTTTTCTCGTTTTCTGGTTACATCTTCAATAATTTGGCTGTCGGTTTTCTGAGGTGCAGTGCTCGTTGAGCTCCAGGACCCATCTCAAAATTATAACTTGGGTTAATATCGCGAAAAACTTCAAATTGATACGCATGAAAATTGCTGAGTTGGATGATACGTGAAAATTGATGGATGTACTGGTTTGGGATCTTACCTCCCTTTGTTACATGTGTAACATTTTTTGATTTTTCGTGATATTATTAACAGAGGGTAAATGTGTCACAAATGTACAATCTTAGAGTTTTCGGTGTTCAAAAAATTAGTTCTAGATAAATTTGTCACATGTGCACCAAATTTAATTTTTTTTTATTTTTGGGTAAATTTGTCACAGGAGTACTAGTTTAGAGTTTGTCACGGTATTAACCCATTAGTTTTTCCTACATTTTTTTAAGCTAATATCACTAAAAGATCCAAACTAATATCTGATTTACCTAAATTAATTTTATTATCACAAAAAATCTTAAACATGTACAATCGTGATACATTTACTGCAAACTAAGATTTGGGTCACAAAAAATCCCAATTGGGTTCATTTGAACTACATTTGCCTTAATTTTGCGAATTTGGTAAATTTGTCACAACTCACAAGTATACTAATTTGGGGATTTTTGTAACACCAAAATTAGTTTTGAGTAAATTCAGCATAGATGTATTAATTTGAAAGTTGAATACGGCATAACTGTACTAATTTGAGATTTTGAGTGGTATTAGCCTCTTATTTTTCGAATATCAATTAGGAGGCCAAATATCTTTACGACACTGGATTAATTCCGCATGCAGCGCACACGATGAGTGATTAGAAACACTTAGGCTATTTTGTGTGGGAGTGATTGCAAGACAATGTATGCGTGCGGTCATTTTAATCTTGATCTTGAGCAAGAAAGACAACAACATATAAGTGCAGTGATTTGAACCTGGCCTAGAACAAAAAGAAAAGGCGACAAAATTAGGAAGATGGTGTTCTTGCTAAGGTTGTGGGTTCAAGAGGTGTAACAAGGTTGAGGATCCCTTACCTAGTTGGTGTCCTAGCTATGATTCCCCTTAACTAGATAGCGGATTGTGTTCCAACAACAAAAAAATCCTAGAGTCCTTCATTTCTTCTACCAACCCCAGATTGACTTGTCTATACAATGCTTGACTCCAATCTTACACACCATGTATACAAATATTCTAGCTAGATTTACTACAATATGTTGGGAATTTTGCTATCTTGAATTAGGCGTCTGGCGTGCCTAGTTTAATGTGTGTCTGAGGCGCCTTCTAGTTCTGAAACTTTATAGTAATGAAAGTCTCGTTTGCTTATGAGATTCTAATGTCATGTTAGTACTTAGGTAGTTGATAGTTAATCGCACGCACATTTTGCATGCCTAGTTAATTTAATTGTACACGCATTAACTCAATTGTGAAAATATTCATTTTCACTTAAGATTTTATTATTGAAACGCGGTAAATTTAAATTTTTTCTTTCGAGTAATTTGTGACCTCGCCCCGAGATACCTTTCTTCTTCACCAGTTCATAGGACGAAAATGGGAACTGGAGTGAGTGAGTCTCAATCCCAAAGCAAATTTGATGACTTGAAACCTTGCTCGCTTTCAAGCAATTTGATGTATCACATTCTCTGCGAGAAGGAAGCAGAAGATCGTCATCCTCGGACGGTTGCATAGATACACTCGAGAGTCGATACGCATGAATTAATTCTGCAGTACAACAAATAACGCCCCATCCCGAGATAAGCTAGACGATAGAGCAGTTCGATAATGTCAGATTTTAATGAAAACAACATTACAGTCTTCCATATTATCCGTAAAAAGCACGATACAATTTTGTGAAGCTTGTATTTAGCATTACTTGGTTAGATTCACTCAGGGCCTTTAATACCAAATTTGCCCAGTTCGTGTCTCTTGATTAACGTCACGCACAGAGTAGAGATGCCCATACCCATTGGACAAAACAAGCTTGATCGAGGAGTACAAACAGATTGCTAATGGCAAACAAGATAAAAGCCCTCTTAACATTATCTATAGCAAGAGCACGTAGCTGTAGACTTGTACTAGAACTTCTTTGATCATGATGTTCCCATTGTTTGCAGTCATCAAATCCGATTCCGTGACATTTCTCGGATAGCCGACAATGCAAAACATTTAGCCTCTCAGCACTCGAGTCGGAAAATCCTCATCGCATGACTAACTGCAAGTCGCGTATAACTACTGTTCCTTCTTATCTTGCCCAAGTTTACAGCAAAGTTGTCCACCAACCAACGACAAATTTGCCCTTCAACTGGTTCGAAACAAATTCCCTTCAACTTCCAAATGCTGCCGGGGAATTTTCCCATTTCAGTTACAGGCAATCCCCACCACGTAACTCTTCTAACTCTTTAAGCATGACAATACTCCTCAGTAGCTCCCTTATCCAAGAATTCAAAATCTTGATGACTTTTAATCTACTTGGGTCTCCAATAAATTTGGGTAACCACAGACATCGTGTTCTTTAGACATCCAACTCGAATAGCGATTCCAAGTTCCCAAACGAGATGGGAAGTTCCTTTATTTTAGTACGTGATAAAAAGAGAGACTTAAATTCCCTTAGATTCTTAATAGAACTAGGAGTTCATTGATTTGTGTACATTTCAGTTTAATTACTGACAAGCACCTGGATACCAATGGAGTCAGGTAATCTTGTGATGGCTGTATGCGAGAGATCCAGCTCCATCGCTAATGCCACTCTTGCAAATAATTCAGGCAGCTGCCTCAACTTTTCGTATTTGCTTAAATACAAGTACTTGTGCTTCTCTAGCAGCCTGATTCGCTCAGACATCTGTGTGAGACTTTTACGTCAATCCACATTGAGGTAAATCAGACACATAAACGTTCGCGGGAATCATCAGCCTCAATCGGTCTTCTGCAATTTTAAGGATCAATCTTTATAAACTCCATTAACCAGAAAAGTTTGCAGTCCTGGTCTTGTTGTTGCAAATTGTGAGATCTAGAACTTTCAGCCTCCAGAAACAACAGCTAAAAGAGAGTAAAGGGACAATCCAATGTGAATTTAGAGGCACCAAATGGTTGTGTTGGGACTGAGTTGCAATTGGGTTGACTCGTTTTTCCCATTTAATCCACATAGACCTATACATTTTAGTACCGATACCTATCCAATCGAATCCACATATCCACCTACATATCAAGTCAACTTCTTCCCAGGATATGTTATTTAATACAATCTAATCGTAAGTGGCCTTGTTTACGATACCAGCTTAGTTTTGCTTGCTAATGACCTTGATTACTCAGTTCACGACCCATTTTATTTACAAGGGCTTATTGCCTATATAGTTATGGTATAGTCATTAGGAGTTGAAAAAAGAAAATAGAACACAAAGTTTGTGTGAAACAATTCAATATAGATAGAGATAAACAGATAGCGAGAGATCGTACCTTGAGTTGACTTCATCCGGCCAGTCCTCCGTGATGGAACTACTAGACAGAACTACAATATTGCTTGTATGGAAATTGATGGTCAAGAGCACAAGAGGACACCTATGCCAGGACAAGGATCTTAACCTTGAAAGATGATTCTTAAAGCCTCCAACAAAATGTCCCCTAGCTAATTTGAGGAACCTTATGTTTTGGAAGCCTTGAAAACTTTTGGCTGATATAGATTCCTGGTGCATTTCCATCTAAACAGACTGCTCCAATGGCCTCCTTTCCCTGCCGTTCAGTGGTAGCATAAGAGGTAGCATTAGAGTAAATGAAAACTGACCCCTTCCCCACCCCCCCCCACCCCCCCCTCCCCTCTCTCTCTCTCTCTCTCTCTCTCTCTCTCTCTCTCTCTCTCTCTCTCTCTCTCGAACATGCAGGTAAGAACTTGAGTCGAACAATTTGGCACAAACCTACAATCTTTCCACATGTAGAATGCATTCATCATATTTTCGTCTACAAAGAGACATGCGATGTTAAGAAAAATCTGTTTTTGCTCATCACTGGGGGCATTGTAGCTGATCTTCAGCTTGTCCTAGGCCTTCTCATGAGTTTTTTACCTCATATTGTCCAGTACATCTATCCAAAAGGCTTTTTTTGGTGACCAGGTAATGAGCCTAGGACTTCGAGCTTAGGGAAGTACTTTGGTCGTAGAAACTTCTTGTCTCAAAAGACTGACATAATCATCCAGACGAGTATTTCTTTCGAAAGCACTTCTACTGAAAAGCTCGATGGAATTCAACGGCTTCACTTTGTAGTCCAAAGTTCAGTCGGCTTCTATGATACTTCTGCTCCTAGTTGCCATAACTACTTTGCTTCCTGAGCCAAACGAAACGTGTTTGATGGCTAGTTTCTCGAGTTGTTCCTCATCATCCATGTCCTCGAGAACAATGAAGACTTTACTGTTAGAACTTTGTTGTGCAATTAACTTGATCCCATAGTCGACATCATTGATTCCGTTGTGAAAGCATGAATCCAATGTGTCAGATAATAGTTGTTTCTGTAAAGTTACAAGCCAAAGTTGAGTGACCATTCCTGGACATTTCCCAAGAAGCAGAAATGACTGAAGAGGGAAGTTAGTTTGTTAAAGACAACCTTAGCGAGAGTGGTTTTCCCAATTACTATTCCATCGATTCGCACAAAGCGCATGACCCCCAAATCCACGTCCAACAACTTCACAAGGGCTTCCACCTGACCGTCCATTCCGACTAAATGCTTGGTGACATATTTGTCTTTAATCTTGAGGTTCATCAAAACTCTTGTGTCACTGATTTATGAATTTCAATGCCTGCCACATTAGGACACTCAATAATTGGTTGCAATCAACCTGGCTA